CCTTTTCCAAAGCGATTTATTGCATAGTATCGAATCCTATGCTGACACTGGTTCATTTTTTCAGAATGGCACCCCGAGAGGGAGCTAAGGGATTTTTCATGGTTATTCGTTGTAACGTTTTTGCCTTTCGGATTCGCTTTCTTAGATTGGCACCGACTAGAACCAAATGTCAGATTCGTTATCATCGCAAAAGGTAACTTTGCGGAAGAGGTTTTGGAGAAACAGGCTTTGGAGTGGCCTAACAATTAGTATCGGGTGAAGAAGCCACTTGCTCCTGCTGACGAAAGACCTAGGGGCAAGGTCAACCTTTCGTTGGACAAAGTCCAAGGAGAGGGTCGTCTTCGGCTGACCAAAAGGGGGGTCGTATTCGATTGATCAAAAGGAGGGTCGTATTTGCAAAGGTCAACATCGCAATAAGTAGTTGAGAGGCATAGCTTGCTGGCAAAGTGCTTCTCTAACTAAAAACCACAAACGAATGCATAGCGCACCTCAAGACAGAAAAGTCTACTGTAGTAGTGTCCATATGTGACTCTTCACAAAAAGAAATATGATTATGTGGAGGAACAACGCCTCCAAGCTGAACCTATGTTAGTAGAAGAGTGACTACTTGGGTAGGTCAAAAAAAAGAAACCTATGCGATGTCACGGTATCACTATTCCCCATAAAATTGAGTCTGAAGGGAGTTGTGGGTGTTTGAGTGTTGAAAAACGTTTTCAGGAGAATCGCTGCAAAAATTCATGAAAAAAACGGTCCAACGGGACAATTTTTTGAACAGATTATTGTGGAAGTTTGTTCACTCTTTAGAAAGCTCTAATCTTCTGGTTTCTTTTAGGGGGGACAAGAATCGTAAAAAGTTCATCTGAAGGAAGTTACAACAATTCAAAGCCAAAAAACCAGCGCTCTGCCAAAAACCGGTTTGCGAATTTCCCAAAACGTCCAACTAGGCAATTTCCGAACCCATCAGTTTTGAAAAATGTTCAGGTATTCGTTAGAAAGCTCCAACCTCCAAGAATTGCAAAAGGTTGAATCGAAAGAAAGTAGTCTTTGAAAGGCGAAAAACTCGGTTGTGCACAAAAACGGCCCATTGGAGCGGTTCTTCTAAGAAATATAACTTTACAAAGTTGGAGCACTTTTTCTAAAGAAAACAATCTAGAGTTTTACAATTCACTTAGCACTTCTCACACTTTCTTATTTGAATAAAATTACAACCTTTCAATGTGCGCATTTCTGTCAATTTTTAATTATCTGTCCCATAACTGAAAGAGTTCTGAAGACACTGCAGAAACGTGATAGTTTTCTGATACTAGCAGTCTCGCAGATTACAAATCTGTTTGACGTTTTGAAAAATACTGAGGACGAACTGAGTTACACTCATTTGAAAATTAGAGCTCTGCCTCGGTCTATCCGCGCTAGGCTGAGGGGAAGATTGTGCGCGCCAGTGCAAACAATACCATCGCGCTCAATCTTGTTTAGCGCTCGAAGTAGTACGAAGTTGTACGCAAACACACATCACCACTAAGTGTATAGTAGATAATAAGTGTTTTGAGTGGGGAGGTTGTCGTATCAAGACTCGCTATAGAGAGGGGGGTCGTAAAATTTTCGAAAATGGTCCAATGTGACGGTTGACCCTGGCTAGAGGCGAGCGCGGCGCAAAGAACTAGTGGTCCTGCTGACCAATGATTCACACGATTTCAGCATCAATTCGTGATCCTTGGAACCAGCATAACCATCTGCACGAGCGTAGTAAGTGGAGCTTAGCTTAGTAAGTGAAGGGGACGGAAATTCACCCACGCGCTCCTTAATGGAGTGAAAGAATTGCGACCTTGTAACCATGACTGTCCTCTGCCAGCACTAGGAGGTTGAGTATCTGCCGCTATCTAGTCTTAATAAGGATAAAGGATAAAGCGTTTGCCGTTGATCAATCCAGATATATCGATGCGGGGCCAGCCGATGTAGAAGTCAGTGTTTTTATCCTCCCAGCCAAGTCTGGTCCCAATTAACCGACACCGAAGGGATGGAAGGCTTTTTTGGCCTGGGCGACTCACTACCCAGGATTTGATCCCAGGACCGCTCGCGTGGTGAGCATGCCACTTGCCACTACACCACTTCCGCCCATCTATCTAGTCTTAGAGGATTCTATCTGTTTGTGCAAGAAAGGGAAAAGGGTGAGGAAAACTACTAATGCACCTATGACTCCCCTTTTGCTCCCTCACTCCTCAACTCCCTGCTGGTGTGTCTGAGAACTTCCCGCTTGTGGGTAAAATATTGCTAGTATGATTTTATTCTAAATGTGCCTGATTTATTACTGATGGTTCCCGAAGAATTATAATGCACCTACGAATGCATAGTAATAAATAAATAAGTAAATAAATAATAAAACTCCCATCTGTCTGACTCTCTTATCCCTTTACATCTTTATTCTCCCCACTAGTTTTCTATTCTCAATTTGCCCACATTGAATCTCACCCGTTGTTCTACAGAACTCTTCACAGAATCAGAATCTCACTACATCTTCGTGCTCTCCTCCCTCACATTGAATCCGCCAATTCAACACACGAGTGTCGCAAATCAAAGTGCCCGTTTAGGACAAGCCGTTATCGTGCGAAAATGGAGAAAGCTCGACGAGAATTTATCGCAGGCAGTTCGGAATCAAGTGGTATGGTATAGCATGAAGATTACATGGTTTCAAAACATTGCTTTTTGAAATATTAATTACTTCACAAATGAGTGTAACTGGAAGTGTAGCTGAAGGCATCACCACGATGTCATCTTGTAATGTGTACTTATCGTCCTGCTACCTTCTATAGTTATCAACATGCATGACTCTGCCACTTAAACTCCCTCACTTGCGAACACTAAGATAGTCAGTTAGAGAGACTGAAAATGGGACACTAAAATAGACAAGCAAAGAAATATAGGGTGCGCCAAAATCATAGCGCGTGTGTACGGCATACATTCTGAAGCTGAGTTTGAACTTTTTTCTGTGCCGCTTTTCTTTTGTGTTGACGTTATACTACATATATTATTCGGTCGCCGGAATGTGTGTGATCACTACGATGTTCAAGCGATGCGATCGTTCCTTGTGGCGGAGAGATGAAGGTGACTCATTACAAATCAAGGCAGAGATGGTCATTGGTGCAGGGAAGAAATAGTAAGAGAGAATTCGAGTAATAGAACTCGTTCACCGTTCGTTGACCGCATCGATGCTATTTTCGTTACCGCTCCCTCTTCAACGCTAACGCTCCCTCTGCCAGTAGCGCCAGAGTCAGAAGGCTATAGATGGTCCTGCCGTGGCGCAGCGGCGCAGGAGTAGCCCTGCTGGCCTGGGACATATGAACTTCTCGCTTCGAAATGCACATCGTCCCACCCTTGGGGACCCCCTGCCTTTTAGCGAGGTATAGTTCCTCTTATTCTACCTCAGATCTTGTCGTAGAATCCTACTTAAGTTAAGAATTTTGCATGCAAAACTTACCAGAGATTTGGTATATAGGGTGAGCAAAAATCACGGTGACTAGGGGTTGCAGCTGTTTTATTGATTTCTAACACCATGAGGTTCTATTGTGTATTCTATGGATTTGTTTTGATAATTTAGTATTCCATATTTGATTTCGTCACATCAAACATATCAATTCTGGAAGGGAAGGTCCTTAAACTCCTCGAAACAATCACCAGTTTGCTCCGACGAACCTTTTGATTGTATTGCATCGCAGGACGAGACAAAACCTCTTCAAAACTTCCTTGGACTACCATCACGGATTTTAACCCATTGCGTACCGCGGCGTTTTTTGGGGCCGGCGCGTGTGGCCAGCTCCTATTTAGATCTCCGCCGCGTGCTGCGCGATCCATATAAAACATTCATTTATATTACTTGGGGTGATAGGAAAGTCCTTAGCCGATTTTTCGAAAGCTCCAGAACTTTCGCTTATTGATCGATACCTAGAATCTGCTACATTAGATTATCGCTGTCGATCATACTTCTCCGCAGTAGGTATCTTTAGCCGGGTTGCCTTTTTTAACGTTAATCGTGACGTTGACTCCACAAGAGCACTTTCGAGCGATCGTCTTCAATGAATGGCGCTGGCAGAGCAGTGGGAACCTTCAACATTATCACCATCGCACTGGGAAGGGACACCACTTCCATCATCAGTGTTAGGCTCCGGTTCGTATGATGTAAGCAAACCAGCCCTTTTGGCGCTTCGGCTGGGACCATATGCTGAAGAGGGGGAGGGGATGTAGTCTCCGACGGTGGACGGACCACTTCAACTCGGTCCTTAGAACCGCCACAATTTGGTGCTTACCTCAGAACTAAGCCTTCAAGAGAGGACGGGTCCGTCCCCTCTCCAAGGCTTAGTCCTGAGGTGAGCAAACCAGCCCTTCTGGCTGAGCTGCTGGACCAGCTGCACCACTTGCGTCAGTACTCTCCTATCGTACCAACCGAGTTGAAGTAAACCGTCGACCGCTGGGGACACCATCCCCTCCCCAACATTCAGCATAGGTCCCAGCCGAAACGCCAAAAGGGCTGGTTTTCTTACCTCGGTTCGTATGCTTCAAAAGGAGACACGGCTTCCGAAAGCAAGTCAATGTTGGGGAGCCCCCAAACAGGGGAAGACCTCACCTGTCGCGAAAGCGCACGTTACTGTCAAAGGTGGGCCCAATGGGCGGGGCCTCCGGGCAGGTGTATAAAAGGGCTCTGCCATGCCAGTCAGGCGGCGTCAGTGTCGGTCGTCAGTCAGCAGCTCTACGGTCTTCTTAGCCGTCCTCGCAGCAGCCCGCCATCTTCTGTCAAGCCATAGCTCCAAGCGCCCCGATGGCCCCGGACTGGACAACTAGGAACGTAATAGGAACGTACGATGTTCCCCTACGTGCATTATCGATTGATTGTGAATGTGTTGGAGGTAAAAGGTTTAGATTGTACGAGTTACATGACACGACACATATGTGCACACATTCATAGGCTAGGATTCATCACATCGTAGACATGGTGCAACTCGCTGCTACCAGCATCGGTGGTTCAATGGTAGAATGCTCGCCTGCCACGCGGGCGGCCCGGGTTCGTTTCCACGCGCACAGATGCACACAGTCATGGGAATTGATGCATCTAGCCTATGAATCGCGTGCACATCTGTGTCGTGTCATGTAACCTACGTACAATCTAAACCTTTTACCTCCAACAACATTCACAATCAATCGATAGATGCCCGTAGGGTACACATGTACGTTCCTATTAACGTTCCTAGTTGTCCAGTCCGGGGCTCAGCATCGGCGTTGGAAGCTATGCGTTGACAGAAGGATTGGCGGGCTGCTGCGGACGGCCTAGGAAGACGCGTAGAGCTGCTGACTGACGACCGACAACGACCGAACGGACGCCGCCTGACTGGCATTAGCGCAGAGCCCTTTTAATACACTCTGCCGGAGGCCCGCGCCCATGCGAGCCCAACCTTCTGACAGAACGGCGCGATTTGCGCGATCCACATCACCGTTCTTACTGCCGCGTCGCGAAGAGAGATCCGGAGTAGAACCCGCACGCTTGTTCAATATAGACTCAGGTGCCCGCATCCCACAGTCCTCAGTACTTTTTTTTTAGTTTACTGTCCTTCCCTTTCTTTCTTTGGTGCA